TATTTTAACTACATTGCATTTGAGTATGGAGAGGCAACTATCTGGAAGTATTTTACATAAAAAATTTACTAAGTATTGCCCGGTTTGTAGTTGCAGTTAAAGAAAACACATGAAAAGGCACGATTTTTTTTTAAATTCGAAAAAATGTAAATATTTCAAAAACGGTGACACTTTTACCTGAAAATTTTTTGTTTATCAGTGAGCTCACCCCCCACCTACCTTCCCCTAAAGTTTGGCACGTTACTTCTGGGACACCCTGTATATAAATGAGTTTGTAAAAGGGGGCGTGGCGCATGCTATAGTCGTGGAATCCTTTATCAGCTACAACTTCGGAACCATAAGTCCCACGAACTTGAAATGGTAGGTGTTTATAGGAGGGTATATATAAACGAGTTTGTGAAAGGGGGCGTGTCATATCCCATATTCGTTGAAATTTCTATCAGCTATAACTTCGGAACCATATGTCGCGTCATCTTGAAATTTGGTATGCAGTTATATATGTACATATTTGGTAGGTGCTTATAATATGGTCTATATAAATGAGTTTGTAAAAGGCGGCGTGGCGCATCCCATAGGCGTGGAAATTTTTATCAGCTATGTATAATTTCAAAACCATAAGTCACATGAACTTGAAATTTGGTATGCAGTTATATATGTACATATTTGGTAGGTGCTTATAATATGGTCTATATAAATGAGTTTGTAAAAGGCGGCGTGGCGCATCCCATAGGCGTGGAAATTTTTATCAGCTATGTATAATTTCAAAACCATAAGTCACATGAAATTTAAATTCGGTATGCAGACATATCTATTGTAGGTGCTTATAGTAAGGTGTATATGAATGACGCCCGTAGGCGTGTAATTTTTAATCAGCCATAAATTGGGAACCATAAGTCACATGAACTTGAAATTTGGTATTCTGATATAGGTATCTATGGGAGGTGTTCAGAGGAAAGTATATATAAATGGGTTTGTAAAAGGGGGATATACATATATGTATTCATCTATTAGATAACTCGGATGTTTAAAGCTGTGTGTGTTTTTTTAACCTTGCCGTCTTTAGATTGTTTTGAAATGGAAAGATTAAATCGTTTTTTAATCCCGCGATGCTGTTAAACGGAAAAGGTTCATTCATAATGAATAAAACTCCTTCCGAATTAAGCTTTCTACCAGAAAAGTGCAACTATACTAAAACAGCTAATCGAATAGGCAGCTAAACGGAATGTACCGTAGTAGAATAATTTTAGTTTAGAAATTTGATCGTTACCTTAATCCACCAATATTAATAATGGATCAAGATTTGTAGGACAAGTGATGATCAATATATATTAGTTAAAGTACGATAAAGCTAAAAGTAAGGATGCCTTAATGTAAACAAAGAAAATAGTTTGTCTCCTTTAAATTATGCTGAACTGAATATTTGTATTACTGTTTTATATTTTGATTTGTTTACCCCGAACAACGTCGGGTGCTCTGCTAGTCTACATATAAATGTGAATGTCTGTTTGTTTATAACCTTATAACTTCTGACCCGCGGCACAGAATCGCACGAAACTTTGCGCACTTATTTGCCTTTACCCCGAGAAGGTTATAGGAATAGAGAAAAATGGGCTGTCCTGGAAAAGAGGGCGTGGCCCCTCCTATACTAACTAAAATTTTTATGTTGTTTATCTTGAAATATTTGTGGTAGAGGATTGGAACTTGCTGTCGAGATAAATAAAATTAATTCCATACTCAGGGGAATAATTGGCGGTATTGGAAAAGGGGGCGTGGCACCTCCCATAAGCGTGAATTATTTAATGAGCTCTAACTTCGGAACCGTAAGTCACATGAACTTGAAATTTGGTATGCAAACATATCTATGGTAGATGCTTATCTTTAGGTATATATAAATGAGTTTGTGAAAGCAGCCGTGGCAGATAACATAGGCGTGGAATTTTTAGTCAGCCATAACTTCGAAACCATAAGGCACATGAACTTGAAATGTGGTATGCAGACACATTTATCGTGGGTGCTTATAGTAAGGTATATAAATAAGACTGGTGCCTTGTTTATACCTACGCAAGAACCGCATTAACAAAAGGCCAATTTGACCCAATACATATTTCATTCGAGCATTTATACCTATGTCTTTACAGCTCACTCGGTGAAACCGTATTCAAAAGTATACAAAATCTGTTGCTTTATTTCGATATTTCTTTAATAATTGATTTGCGCGATTAACCGAATTGGAAGCGAAAAATAATTCAAATTTATTTTAATAATAATTTAAATTTAAAACGGGCTATATAACTAGCCTATTTTCACTTCTCGTCAAATTAGTGACGTGTTTATACCTGTTTTCTAACCGATACGAGAAATAAAAAAGCGATTTGAAATCAAATTAGAGTCAATACACTTTTGAAATTCAGAGCGTATTGAAATTTAGTTTATGCATCCATTTTGAATCACAGCGAAGTGGATCAAAGCGCTTTATGTGTCGGCATAAACAAGGTTTGTGAAAGGGGGCGGCAAATCCCAAAGGCGTGAAATATTTTCGGAACCATAAGTCACATAAACATGACATTTGGTATGCGGACATATCTAGGTGCTTATAGTGAGGTATATATAACTGAGTTTATAAAAGGGGGCGTAGCACTTAACATAGGCTTGGAATTTTTTATCAGCCATAACTATGGAACTACAAGTCACATGACCCCCTTAATTCCTTCTGGCGTGGGTTGAAACCCGCGGGTAAAAGCTAGTTGCTTATAAAAACCACGATATAAAAATTTGAAGGTAAAACCGCTGAGAGGCAGCTTGAACATTTTTGAAGTTTTCTAACATAACAAAAATATTTTCAAATTTTCAATCTCACAAATACATTCTCACTTTCAGTCTCAAATAATTGAATATTTTCATCTATTTGTGTTTTGTTTTATTTTTATTTGGCCTCATAATTTCAATTTTAGTTGAAAAGCCATTGTACAATAATTACAGGTATTGTCTTCCCAGAGAGCGCATATTCCGATCTGCCTCATTGTTGCCCTCACTAAAAGGTTTCTTCTTCTTCTTTTTTGGCGCTGTAACCGCCTAAGCGATTTTGGCCGAGTTCAGCAAAGCACGCCAGTCGTTTCTCCTCTGTGCCAACTGACGCCAATTGGAAACGCCAAGTGAAGCCAAGTCCTTCTCCACCTGATCTTTCCATCGCAGTGGGGGCCTCCCTCTTCCTCTGCTACCACCAGCGGGTTCCGAGTTGAATAACACCGATTATTTTATCGATAGCAATCTCGATTATTATATCGACAAAAATATCGGGTTTTATATCGATAACAATATCGATCTTCATCCTCATCCTTTTCTTCATATTTATCTTCATTTTTGCATATTCCTCTTCACCTTTACCTTAAAGTGTTTAAATTTGCTTTGATCTTCGTTTTTGCCTGTACCTCTAGGCATCTTTGTTTTTGTTTTTATTCTCAAACCGCTAAACCGCTGAAAACCATTTCCATGTGCATTATTCACCTTGAATTTGACAATTTACTCCCAACCAATCAACTGCCGCTAAAGAAGTTTACTTCGTAAATTCAAGAAATGTTCTTACCCTTTTAGTTACCCTAATTCTTATGTATCTGTCATTGTCTCCATTTTCGTCTTTATCTTCACTTTTGCCCTTTTTTTTGACTTCATCGTTCTCATTTATTTCTTCATCTTCATATTTATCTTTATTTCAAAGCTTAAGCATAGTACTAAGTTCGCGTTTCACGTGAAATGGCTGTCAAAATCCATACAAATTGCATTGCTGTGAAATATGCGTGAAATTTCACATGCGTCTCATGGCAAAGTAGTACTCAGTTCACGCCGTGAAAACACCGCGCAACATGCTAGCAACATGATGCCAGCAACATTTTTTCACCGCTATTTAAAATGCTCATGTCATTTAAAATTGAGCGAAAAGTGACATTTGTTGAAATTGACAAGCAGTTGAAAAGTTTGAAATTAACAAAACATTGGAAAAAGTAAGCTTATTTAAAATAATAAGTTTAAAACTCTATTAAACTGTTTCGTTTTTATTTGAATAATAGTGGAGAACACAACAGCTACCACAAAAAGGGCAAAAATCCAATTAAATGACGAAGAGAGGAAGAAATTACTGGCGGCTGTTAAAGGATTCCCATGTATTTGGGACAAGCAGCGAAAAGATCACAGTAACCGAAACGCACTTTCCAGCGCTTGGTACAAAATCGCGCAAATTGTCGGTAAACCTGGTAATATCTGAGTAACTATAGTGTAGTGCATTTATTTCCTCATTGCCAACATTTCAGAGGAACCTTGCAAAGCAGCGTGGAAGAGCCTTAGAGACAGCAAGCGGTACTATGCAAACAAGGCAAAAAAATCGGGAAGTGCGTGCGATTTGGAGGATCTCAACTTTGCGAGTGAAGTGACTGAGTTCGAATACTCAGAAGACATGGCGTTTTTAAGCGAAACGTCTTCGCAAAGAGTGTAAGTAAATCTTCTTTATATTGTGTCAGTATATATGTGTGTTAATTTGAATATTATAGAACGTTTTCCAGCATGGATGGTTTAGGAGCAGGCACCAGCTTCGACGAAAGTTTGGATCCCCCCGGCTATAATTATGTACGATTTAGTATAAGAATCGCCAATTCTTAACATAAACTATTTAATGAACTTTTTTCCTGTTCTATTTCCAGACGTCGACACCTAGCACATCGGCAAAGCGCTCCAATGCCTCTAATGCGGCTCTGCAATCTTCGGCGGAGAAAATTGTGGAGCAAATGGATAGTATTGTGGAGTTGCGAAAAGCGGAGATTACTCAGAAATCCAAATTTGAACCCCTTTTAAAGCACTTGGAGTCACTTCTGGAACAGTTACCGCAAAGCACGGCGAATATGTTAGGGGCGAAATTTACGCAAATGGCCTACGAGGAGGTTGAAAAGCACCAAACAAGATGCAGTGAAATGTAATTTTATTTTGTTCTATTTTTATTGTATTCCTTTTTGTTTTATTTTATTAATTATATTTTATTTTGTTTTATTTTATTTTTATTTGTTTTTATGTTTTCGCTTAATTCAAATTATTTTATTTTACATTATTTCATCTAATTGAATTGAATTTAAGTTATTTTGTTTTGTTTTACATTGATTTGTTTTCTACATTTTATTTTGTTTTATTAATTTTATTCAGTTCATTTAATTAAGTTTAATGTAATTTAGTTTTAAGTTAATTAATTATTTTATTTTACTTTATTTCATATAATTGAATTGAATTAAAGTTATTTTATTTTGTTAAATTTTTTCATCCTGTTGTGTGTGTTGTATATTAAACATAACACATCTAAATAAAATAAAACATTAATGAACTTAAACTTATTTTCATTTTGATTTAATATTTTGCTTTAAATTTATAATTCAAAGTAATACATGTACTGTTTCAATATACTATATGTACATATGGATGTAAAACGAAAAATAATGTTGAATATTGCAATCCAGTGAAAACGAAATTCTTTCGGTCTTGTGATCTAAAATTAGGAAAAAGGAAGGAAAAGGAAAATTCCTAAAAATAAATAAATAAACAGGAGTGGCCATACCATTCTTATTTAATCTAAACAAGCTGCTCTGCGCTGCCAGGCTATCGATCCCTCTTCAGAATTAAAAAACGCAGACAGATTTTCTCGAACTTGAGATGCAGATTGTGGAAGCCTTCCAGCTTGAACGCTGCGCATTTCCGACGAAAAAAGGGAGTTGGCAGGGATGTGGTGGCGAAATTCGCCTCCTATCACTTCTCCGAATTCGCTGTAGCCATCGGCGTAATTCGAAGGACAATATTGAGCTCTACGAGTCCTTATGAGGAAATTGTGCAAATAGCAGCACGCAACTACTATTTTTTGTGCTTTTTTCGGGGAGCAAAACATTTTTCTGGAGAGGCAGTAGAACTTCGAGCACAATATTCCAAATGCATTTTCGATGCATCGCCGCGCTCTGCTAAGTCTATAATTAAAAATCTGATGCTCTTCTTCCAGCCTCCTGTTTCGCGATGGTACATATGGTTTCATAATCCGCACGTGCAATGGAAAAGCATCATCTGCAATAAAAACGTAAGGGCGTTCAACAGCTTCGGGAAAAGCGAGTGTTCCACTAAGCACCGCTTTTCCGAGGGTACATTTTTGAAATATGCCGGCATCTCCTTCGCTTCCGTATGCCCCGATGTCCAAGTAGGTAAACTTGTAGTCACCATCTGCTGCAGCCATTAGTACCAAGCTGAAGAATCCCTAATAATTATAAAAATACACCTTGTTTATACCTACACAAGAACTGCATTAACAAAAAATCGATTTGACCCGACACACATTTCTTCCAAGCATTTATACCTGTATCTTTATAGCGTATTCAAAAGCAAACAAATCCACATTTCAAACGTCGTACAAAAATTATGAAAACTCAACTAACTTTAACATTTGCACCCGAAAATTTTAAACATTTTACTCAGCATTTTTAAAAAAATATAGGGTATGCAGTTTTGTAGCTCATTAAATTTTAGTAGGTTAAAGTGCAAATTTCAAGACGCTAGAAAATCGCGTTGATTTTGAAAATTTTTTTTTGCTGATCATGCTAGGCCAAAAAATAGCCGAAACTAGTCAAAATGTTACTTGACTTAATCAGCTGACCACAAGTGTATGTCAGTATAAACAAGGTTATAGAAAAACTCTAAGTTTAAATAGAAGCTGAAAATGCTTCCCATTGCTCTAAATGTATACCTTATAATTATAAAAAAGGCTTCCAGAATTTCGTGGACACTTAATGGCAACATGCTTGCCATCGAGAGCACCTCCACAATTGGGAAAATTCCACTTGTTAAATGTGTATCCAATACGTTGTATTTCTGCAGGTGTTAGCGGTGGAATTTCGTTGCCTAAAGCAGAAATAATGGCGTCGCAAACTTCGGTTAAAATGATTCCAAAGTGTTGTTTGCTTATACGGTAAACAGACGCAACATGCCGTTGAAGTGTTCCACAAGCAAAGAACCTTATTAAATAAAATAAGATATAATAAATTAACATAGCAATTGTTAAGTTAAATTAAGGGCATGGACTTACTCCAACACGACAGCCAGCTTTTGCTTTGGTGAAATTTCATCGTTTGGCCTTGTTCGCTTTTTAGGTTGCAGTTGAGGATGAACCAGCTCATACAACTCGTTGAAACTACATACATCCATATGAAAATTCTCCTTGAACTGTTTTTCATTGGCCACTAGGTCATCAAACTGCAAATGATTGATTAGATTTCGGGAAAATTAATGTATACAATTAAATTACATATAATTGCGTCCTAGACCGCTTGACCAATCATAACATAAACCAGTCGAGAAGCGCTAGGTTACGCTTAAATCCAGCTGCGGTCAATAAGATAGCAACAAAATTCAAAGTTATATTTTTTGAAACTTATGTTTATTTATACCGCATAAAACAAAGTTTTAAAGCTGGCATAAGTTCACACAAATAAATCAAACTTAAAAAAAAACCATGAAAATGTCAAACGTCAAGAAAAAGCCAATTTTTACGGGAAGTGCCACGCCCCTTTTTCTTCAGTTTGCATGGAGTTGCCACACCACCTTGTCTAATAACTCTTATTTTTCTCCATGAGTATGAGATTAGTTTCACATACATATATATTTCCATGCCAAACTTGAGTACTTTACCCCAAATATTTGAAGAGATATGCAATAGGAAGATATGAATATGCAATAAAGTTAATTAAACTTATTTAGCAGGTGGCAACTCTTAAACAAAAATTAGCCTATTTTCCAAAGTAGGTCATAAGCTATCTGTGTACAAAATTCCATGCAAATCCGCTCAGTCGTTTCCGCGTGATGGTTTCCCAAACATCCAAACATGCAAACTTTCACATTTATAATATTAGTAGGATTACTAAAAACATACAAATAAACATAAGTTGCAAAAAATATAACTTTGAATTTTGTTACTATCTTATTGACCGCAGCTGTAAGTGACCAAGTGCGGCCGGACAGACAGACATGCTGATCATTTATATATATACACCTATATTTTTTTTACGCTTCTACGCATTTTCCTCCAGATAAAAAATTACCAAATAAATTTTAGCTTGCAAAATATTGTTAATAAATAAAAAATAAATGGTGTTCGCAGCCTTTTTCTGCTAGGTGTATGTACATATCTGTAACCAAATATGTATAAAATCAATTTAACTTAAATGCATAGCGACCGATTTATACTGTACTACATGTGCATACATATTATACATATCGTTACCTTAATATAGAAAGGCCCTAACTCATTTTCACTTCGAATCCAGACTTATACAAAATCTGGCAAATAGCTCACAATATATCTGATAGAAATTGAAAACAAATGTTACAGCGTTAGATAAAATATTATATTTAATAAAAATCAGCACTTCGACGAAATTCGCAACTGTAGAACTTTGCTTTTCGCTAAATTTTCAAACTATGTTTGAAGAAACAGAAATGTGAGATAGGGCCTTTCTATATTAAGGTAACGATATATAAGTACATCTAGGAGTTTGTGGGTGAAAGGTGGTAACCAAGTATTTCTTCCCATTCATAACGCCACTGAGAGTGTATCAAACAATTTGTATTATATACTTACATCCTTTGCGAAGCGCCCCTTTTCTCCCCTTTCCCTCAAAAATTTGTTGACTTCTTTACGCGACTCTGCCTTCAAGGCCTCCGCAATCAAAAGCACCATTTGGGCTCCTGCCATACAAGCCACTTCTTCCAACATGCTATTTGTTGTGCCGGAAGCTCGCAAAACTCCCCAAATGCTGCTAAATGTAGTTAAACCTGTTAAAAAGAATGGAATTAGTTATATTATTATATTTAAACACACTTTTCTTACCAAAATTTGGTAATTGCTTCTGGGGTGATGCACCTACTCTTCTGGATGCTAGTTGCTGTGCCGGAAGCTCGCAAAACTCCCCAAATGCTGCTAAATGTAGTTAAACCTGTTAAAAAGAATGGAATTAGTTATATTATTATATTTAAACACACTTTTCTTACCAAAATTTGGTAATTGCTTCTGGGGTGATGCACCTACTCTTCTGGATGCTAGTTGCTGTGCCGGAAGCTCGCAAAACTCCCCAAATGCTGCTAAATGTAGTTAAACCTGTTAAAAAGAATGGAATTAGTTATATTATTATATTTAAACACACTTTTCTTACCAAAATTTGGTAATTGCTTCTGGGGTGATGCACCTACTCTTCTGGATGCTAGTTGCTGTGCCGGAAGCTCGCAAAACTCCCCAAATGCTGCTAAATGTAGTTAAACCTGTTAAAAAGAATGGAATTAGTTATATTATTATATTTAAACATACTTTTCTTACCAAAATTTGGTAATTGCTTCTGGGGTGATGCACCTACTCTTCTGGATGCTAGTGGTTGCGCTGGAAGCTCGCAAAACTTCCCAAATGCTGCTAAATGTAGTTAAACCTATTAAAAAGAATAGAATTAGTTATATTATTATGTTTAAACACACTTTTCTTACCAAAATTTGCCAATTGCTTCTGGGCGATGCTTATAAATTTGTTTGTTTACATTTGTTAAATTTTCATTTTGACGTTTCTTCTCATTTGACAATCAATGTTGCTAGCAACATTTCACGGCAAGCCAAATGCATGTTGCTGGCGAAATTTCACGGCTATGAAGTCAGTACTAGCCTTTAATTTCAAATGTGTAGTGAAACAACAGGCGAAACATGTCAAATTGAACATGTTGCAGCAACATCTATACAGAATTAGAAAATGTTTAAACAGCGGTTTTGGCCGTAATTTTCAACCAATTGTGAAACCACAAAAACTCTCGGAAAAATGCCTTTCCAACGGTGTTCTTGGTTAGCGTATTAATATATAGATTAATACTTAAACTCTGAGGATAAAATTAAACGTTTTCAGTCGGAATATTGGTTCAGGTGCTGTGCACCTGCATCAGGGATTGGCCTACTACCCCAAAATATTTAAAGTATTCGGTTTGTATGTCTACATTTAATGATGTAGGGCCGTGTTACGCCTTAAGGTAAAAAGAAAATTGACTATAAATGAGCATTTTCAAAGAATTTGACAATTTCTGAGGATATCTTTCGCAGGCTTTTATCAATTTTAACAGGACAATGACCAGAAACATCCTCCGAAACTGGGAAGAAATAGGAAAAAATCCCAAGCTTTCATAATCATGGAGTGACCTGCGTAAAGCCCAGATTTGACTCAACAGAAAACGTATGGAAGTGTTTGAAAATGCCACTGTTCAATTGCAAAAACTCACCCAATCGCATGCAAGACCTTGGGCATGGCGTTGAGCAAAACCGGTGCGCAATTTCAACAGATTTCGTCTAAAAGCTGTGCGAAAGTATCCCAAGATGACCAAATTAAAAGCTAACATATTCAAATTAATTTTCGATAATTTTTTTATATGGAAAAAATGAGCGACACCTTCACCAACAAAATTTGCCAAAAATCAATGGTCCTCAGTCTTGCACTTTATTATACTAAAATTGAATGGGCTAATAAACTGCATACTCAACTTTTCTCTAAAGAGTATAAATAAAAAGTGCAATATTTGAATGAAAATTTGCAGAATTTTCTTCACACCTTCACCAACAAAATTTGCCAAAAATCAATGGTCCTCAGTCTTGCACTTTATTATACTAAAATTGATTGGGCTAATAAGCTGCATACTCAACTTTTCTCTAAAGAGTATAAATAAAAAGTGCGATATTTGAATGAAAATTTGCAGAATTTTCTTCACACTTTCACCAACAAAATTTGCCAAAAAGCAATGGTAAGTCGCAGCTTCCTCAGTCTTGCACTTTATTATACTAAAATGGAATGGGCTAATAAACAGCACACTCAACTTTTTTCTAAAGACTGTAAATAAAAAGTGCAATATTTAAATAAAAATTTGCATCATTTTCTTTAATTTTGCACAAGGTTTGGAATTCTGAATTTTGGGGTTTCTGTTGTAGAATCAACCATATTTAAAACAATTAAGAAAGTCTAAGTTCGGGCGCAGCCGAACATTAAATTCCCGGCACAAGTATTAAATATATGCTTTTTCACCTTTCCGAAACCTTCCGCTAGATGGTAAGCCGGGGTCTATCAATTTTGAATAAATTAGCGTCCTTAAATTTCGAAATATTGCAGTTTCAAGCATTTCTGAAATTTACCGTTATATGAAAAGCGGCCGTAATTTTAGTCCGATTTCAATAATTTTCAACGTTTTTCTTTTATGTGGCAAGCACAATAACCATACCGAGTTTGGTACAAATTGGTAGAACACTTACCGATATACATATATGTGATCATAAGTGGGCAATGCCACGCCCATTTGCCAAAATTTTACCATAAACGTATTTCTTGGTAAAGAATTGTTGCAAGCATCAATTTTGAATAAATTAGCTTCAATATTTACTGATTTATCGAAGATTTTGTATTTCTCTAAATTACCGTTATATGGGATGTGGGCGCTGTTATTGTCCGATTTTAAAAATTTTCAGCCATTTAGTATGCTGTATCAACGCCAACAACTGTGCCAAGTTTGGAAGAAATTGGAGCAGCGGTTACCAAGATATACACATGTAACCATAAGTGGGCGTGGCTAC